TCAGCGAAACTTTTTTACAATATACAAATCTACATTAAGGACATTATATTATACGGATGATTTTGAGAGATTATTAAAAATGTTATTATCTCATGTAAATCGAGAATTACAGTAATCGTGGCACAAATTAGTACTTCAAAACAATTGTTATTCGTATAGCGTCACTTATATATGATGATATACTTACGTAGTATATATTACATATATCATCATCTCCTAACTGCACTTATTAATATGTATATTCATTCAAGGCAAATGTAGCAACGGATCCAAAAATTTATATCGAATGTTCGCTTCATCTCAGATGTAAATATGATAGTTATTTCTATAATATTTACTGCCGAACATCGATCCTTGCGTTTCTCATAATCAATTGCTATCAATCCACCGATCTCACACAAAGGCGTGCGCAGAACTTGAACGCCGAATCTTTACAATTTTGCGATCGCCCGTGCGGCAGCAATAGGTCCGTGCCAACATTTTTGGCACGTTCGTTTTAATCCTGGGCGATATTAACAAGCCACAGCTGGAGTGACCTGCGCAAGTGGAAAAGCTTTGAAGTGGCGTTCATTGAAGCTCAGTATTTTCCACACCAAAAACTCAAAATACGGGAAAAGTTCCGCGCGACGCCTGAATCTGCGCACTCAGAGTACGGTTGAGGACTTAAGGGTAAAATTTGATTGAAAATACTACATCAAAGTAGATATTGATTTAAATAGTTGGTGTGATAATTATTTAGCGAAGTTTACCCACTAAAACAATAATTATATTAGCTGAGTGAATAATTATATATTGACAACCAAAATTAAAACTCGTTGAAATGTACAGATTTGCACAAGGGGATATCACGATTAATTTATGATGTTTGAATAGCATTCACGCGTTGATTAATTGAAGTTCCCCGTAATTCTGCTAGTCAGCATTCAGAGAAAATCACATTCAAGTCAGAGTTAAATCTGATATTGCTGATGAGCGTTTGTTCTGACTCAGATCAAACAATGATGACTCACTTTGATGGTTGAAAAAACAGAAATCGGGTAGCTGGCGGTAGGAGGTTTCTGTCTGAAACAAATGAGCCCTTTCAGTCCAGGAGGGTTTTAGAATGAAGGCATAACGAAGCCTGAACTTACAAAGAATCTTTGCCTCAAATTACGGAATAAATGAGCCTATTTGAGCCATCGACTCTCCCTACAAATGCGGGGAACGGCACAAATGCGACCTTCAGATGAACGAGTTCCGTCAATAACAATGTATTCGCAATACGAATTTGCATTTTACATAGAAAAGGGCTCGTTATCGTTATTAAATACACACAGACACCGCAATGATCTGTAAACTATTTACACAATCAAAGTTCTTTAATATTTTATTTCAAGTCAATCAGTTTAAGAGGAAACTTCGACGAGAACGGCAATGACCAATCCGCAAAGATATGATCATATAAAGCTAAGCTTGAAAGATTTACAGTAAACTTAATTAATTTTCAATCTTTATTAAAATCTTGCAATCTGCTCCTCCTCTGTTGTTGCATCAAATTAGATTGGTTTATTAAAGAATAATGGTTTATTAAAGAATATTAAAGAATAAGAAGAATCCAAGCACCATGGCGTCAAATGCGTTACAGCTGCAGGCAGGAAGGATGTAGGGTTTCTGTTGGCTCAGGGTTGGTCGAGAATGATCATGACGTTGGCATGGCATAACGATGAAAGATAAGAAAATGAAGTTACCGCTGAGGCGTTTGAAAGTCGATGCTGCAGAAAATAAGAAAATAACCACTAAACCGCAAGCCAATCATGTCCCACCTTTCAATTTCACCTTTGTCATAATAAAGATTCTCCATAATGCAACAACTAACCTGAGGTTTCTAACGACCAGTGACTGTACTTCCGGTTTGAAAAAAATAATTTGGAAATTTAGAGGAAATCGCTTTGAGGAGTAGGAAGTTGGACCGAGAAATAAAATAGGAATAGTAAAAAGTTCAACAGCGTTCGAAATCAGGTAAATCAGGTAAAAAACTTAAACTAGAATAGCAACAGTAAAATTTTAACAGCCTAATCGGATTGCACCACTCCAATGTCTGAATATATATTTAAATATAAAATTGATATAAATTTGAATAAATTCTATATAAATCCGAGTATTGTTCTGAGATAATTGAACGAATTTAAATAGATACTTGAATAATCTACTGGGACCTGCCGAGCTTTAATTTAATGTATTGTACAAACTTGATTATATTAAATTTAGTGCAACCGAATCTCAAAAGATGTAATCTTACGCTAAAGTCCAACTTCCCACAGAAGCAAATTTGGCATAGAGTCTTTGCGACCTAAAAAAGGGAAAATTGACACGAAATTCACGTAAAACAAAGGATGGAGAAACAGTTTATGGGCAGAATTTTAGAGTTGCCTAATAGGCTAACCGATGAATTTGGCGCTGCTGTGGTTACTGATTCGTAGATAACATAGATCAATGTATATTGAAGTTCATTACGTAAGATCGATTGGACCGGCCACGGCTCCGGACAAAATAAAAATGAACCTTTAGAGCTTGTTCGCCCAGTACCAACATTGAGTTGTCCGCACAGCTGGACAAGAGACAACCGCATTATGCGCCATAAATAAACAAATTGACATTCTCTCCATTATCTTGGAAGATTATTCAGCGCTGAATTTTAGGAAATTTTCGGTGAGAAATTTAGTATTTCTCACAGTGCTTCAGAAATTAAGAATTTATCATAGTGAAAAAAACGATTGTAGTTTTGCTTTATTTTTTAGATACCGTATCAGTGTATGTGTCTACTTATACTGCCCAGCATGCAAAGTTGGTTGAAAGCAGATGACTTAAACAACGCGTGACAACTCATTTGGACAAAAATAAATAAGGAAGCTAAGAACATGAAGCTGTAATTTAAAGCTTCATCCATACAAAATTAATAAATATACCAGGCTTATTTTCAATAATCAAACGTCTCATAAGATAATAATCGGTGTTTCTTATTCGAAATGCCTCGACAATTTCTTCAATAAAGACTGCCAGGTTGATCCGTAGCTGCTTGGTAGGGTTTGTGTGACAAGTAAAAGGTAAATTCGGTGTGGCAGGTTGACCAAGCTAGCAAGTTATCAGGAATCATTAAAATAACCAAACACACAGGTTAAACCTGTATAGTTTATCTTCCAGTGGCTTGATGACCCGAACAACAGGTAACTAATTTGAAAGTACCAATTGGAAAACAGAGATCATTAAATTGCTTTCTGGATTGATTAAATATCAGCGACCAGTCTTCTCTAGCCTATTCGGCCATTCTTAATGTGGAGAAAAGTTCCAAAATATATCGGTGATTTGATGGAAAAATAGCCCGTTATTTGGAAGTTAGAGCCGAGGGAGTTGGTAAGGCAATTACAAAAGATCATTTCATTCCTGCGAAACTTTGCCGCTGCCGCGCTTGATTGAATCGCCAGCACAGGCGACAATTGAGTCACAATGTAACGTAATTCTTCGATGGGTCAGTCTTATGACTGCTTCGGACGCCTCGGTCTCTATTTGACCGCACGGAACCGCATTATACGAAGCTTCTGTCAATGTAGAACCGCATCTGGCCATAAAGTGCTCCATTATATAGCCTTGGTCCCTGTGGGACAACATGGTGGCGCATTGGGCCTTATTTTATTCATTCATGAGCGACGTACGGACATTGTAAATATCACAGCTAAATAGATTTATTATAAGCGCATTTAACGATACGATAATGTAATGATGGAATGAACTGTGCCATAAAAATATGAACCCGTTGTGCATTCAATTATTTCAACCATAAAGTAATTGTTCTATCACGCAAATAATTATTTCGTTCCCGCAAGAAGATGAAGAATATTTATTATTTAATATAGCTTCATGCTGACAAGAATAGTTTTCTGAAATACCCCTACACACTTTCTTGAAGCAAAGGTTAGTGAGCACATTTATCATTGCTACCGAGGTTATTTCTCTCATCTGGCATATAAAGAACAATGCAGTGTCATGCAGTCCCATGCAGTGCCATGCAGTCGTCTCGTAACGAGTTATGTGAACCTTCGTGACCAAACTTTTCACTTCGCATTCAAAGCAAACGAGTCGAAATGAGGCACGTGAACGCTAGCCGTGCGTGCCGATTGAGAATTCTGTCCATGAAAAGAAAAAATTATGGAAAAACAAATCTCAATGGAAGAGTTCTGCTATGGGATGTGTAACTGTGTTTATACCACAGCTCAAGTAGAAAATATATTTTGAATGAAAAATGAACGGTTTACATAGTAATTCTAGTTTGCCCTTATTAGCAAATATTATTAATATTATTAGGATTTTTGCACATATTAGCGTTGAATCCGTGCAAAGATACGGCGACCATATTTCGCACGCGCCTGTCATTCGCGTAAACTTACACGACTCATATAATTAGGATCGAAGTAATCACCACGGCGACAGCTAGGCTTTTATAGCTCATAATTTTAAGTATACAATATCTACACCCAAAAGTAAAACTTCAACATTCATTAATCTGTATATATGGGAATCTTTATTCTTGACTTGCCTGGAAGTCACATTTATTTTTCCCGAAAGATGCTTTCCACCCACAGCATGTATCGAACAAAAAAGCAAACAATACATAAGGTGCACTGCATCTGGTGGCACTAACAACGGCAGTCAGAGTAATTGAACCTCGTCCCTCTTTCATGCGTAAATATTTAAATAGGTGCATTCAGAGGTGGACATAAGATGAAACTATGGAAGCACAAGTGAAACGAAGGCCAAAACTGAGCGCTCGTTCGGAGGTTCTGGTCAAAAAGGGCCTCTGCGTTCAGTGCAAAGCTTGTGGTCGGTGGAAGAGGGCGGGTCGCTCCGCAGATTTTTCTAGCTGTCGCGCTGGCGGGAATTTGATAACCTTGCTGCCCTTTCACTGGTGTTGGAGTGAAAGTTCAAAAATTGTAATTAAAAAATTTAGCGATGATTGTTATTGGGTCATTTATGCTTAAATAATATTATCTTTTGAACATAGTTTGCATAAATTGAAGGATATAAAATTTTATACACACCCAATTGAGCTCTACCGATGATTTATTTAAGACTAAAGTATACTGTATACGTGTAGGTCGTATGGACCTGAGAAACTTAAAATTCGATCTGAAATTCAACTACCATTCTAAATTTTTTCTTTAATTAGAAGATTCCTTGAACTGCCACAAAAACAAAAGCCGATGGTTTGAATACGAACTAACTATTTATGCAAATTATCCCAATATGAGTTGAAACAGTTTCTCTCTTGATAGATCGCACAAACGAAGAAGAAATATTAACCGAAGAAGAAAGTCCAATTGTAATGAAGAAATAATTGGAATTTGAAGCCAACATCTTTCCGGGTTATGGCCTCGAGTGGAGGTGAGAGGAGATTGTGAATTCTTCATATAGTACGGCGAGGCTTCGAATAAGATTCCTTAAATCTTGTGATGACCGATTACTGTCAACTAATCACTCTGTTTACTATTTTTTTACGGGGTCTCGAATATAACGTTTTAAATATTCTTAATTAGGATCTTGAAAAGATCTCAATACTATGAAATGGATGTTTCACCAGCGTTTTTATTTACGAGTTCTTTCTATTTTAAACGTAATATATTTTCTACAAATAATCTCGAATAGTTTTCTCGAAATGATCCGGGACTACGGGACGAGATGAGAGATCTCTCGAAAAAAATTACAGGATTTAAAAAAGAATGTCTCGGAATAACGTTAAAAATAATATACGTTTAAAAATTACTTTTTAAAGACAACCCATCTAAAAAATCCAGTGTCTCCAATGGAAAACATGTACAATGAATTTCTAATTTTGATTTCGAATATTAAAATAATTAATTTTTAATTATTTTAATACATAAAATAAATAAAATTTTCAAAATTATTTATTCTGTTAATTGATTCATGCATTGTCTCCGACTTTACGCAAGTCTGCAAAATTTCAGATAGATTGGGACAGCTAGAAGTGTGTTAAATATCGATTATAAGATTTGTAGCAGACAGACAGACAAACAAGAAGTGAAAAGAGAAGTGTTGTAAATAAGGACAATAGATGATTAGTGTTGTAAATGTAAGGACGATTGATGAACAGAAAAAATGGTTCGATTTGTAGTTTAGTAAAACTTGAATAATCTGATGACTTAACCACACGACGGTGGTGACTATGAGATTATTTGTCAACCAGTTGAATAGTATTTTGATGACTTGCAAATAAATGGCAGACTAGACTAAATAAACGTGGCATACCAACTTCCGTAATGTGTGCTGTATACGCACCTATTTTCACGGTGATAATCATTGCAGAGATGCGGTTCGCTGCAAACGAAGGTTTAAATATGCAGGCAGGCTGCAAAAAACTTCTGTTTGAGTTTTCTAGTAATGCGGAATTTTTAATAACAAAAATTTTGGACTCCACGATTACACGATTAGAATTAATTGTCAGTAACTTGGTAGTGAAATTCAATTGCACCAAGAATTTCGTTAGCCTTTCTGAGTGAATTAGAATTTGACAGAGAGCAGTGAGAGTAAAAAACGGTATTTAAAGAAATTTTCATGCGCAATAAACTCATCATCTGCTTCCGAGTGATGATATTAGTACAATAAGGACACGTAGCGATAAAAATTTTCAGTGAGAGCGAGAAAAGCCTGCTGTCCTATCGGAAACCATAATTAATTTTGTTGAAGGTATTGAATATTTAAGACATGTGACTTGACTGCGATATAAATATATTTTGTTTGAAATGAAAGGTTTTCTTCTCAACAGCGCATAATTGTACTTGATGTATCAAGAGCTATAATGTCGCAGTAATCCACTTACGCGGCCCACGCACGCAACTTCTGTCAGAGCAAGGAATGAATTGGCGCCTACACGAGCAAGCCTGGATATTCGAATAATGCAAGAGTTTGCTATTGTAAAAATCATGGTATTTTGTGGACAACTCTATTGATGTGCTGAAATGCTAGACATAATTTAAGGGATGAATTGTGGAATGATTACAAAAAGAGGAAATAAAATTTAATTATTGATTTTGATTCTCAGGCGTCTTTTCTTACAACGCTGATTGTCCAGTTGGTTTTTCATAAATGCTAATCTGTCGAGAGGTTAAATGCCGAATAAAGAAAACATTGATACTGCCAGAGCGCTTTTTAAAATAAATAAATTGCACTACGCACCGAAATGTGTCGAAGAATTACTTTATAAAGTGTATAACATAAAAAATTGAGCTGAGGCTACATTCTCATGGTTTTGGTGGAGTGAAGCTGTTAGGAGTACATCCTTAATTGGAGCGCTATAAGTCTCGGTGGAGTGATGGGTTCCTCAAGATTTCCTTCCTCTTTAACATTTGAAGTAAAAAAATCATTTCGCGAAAGCATCGATGCTTGCAAATTTATTTTAGCCAGGGAAAAAAACGTGGAATGACTAAACGTGGAATGACTCCTCGAATATAAAATGCAATTCAAAGTTTAAATTACCGCGTTTAATTTTGAAGTGTTTATAGAATTCGGATTCAAATAATTTTATCGCAGTTTAAATTAATAAAAGGAAAAGAATACTTCAAAAATCCATTATAGGCTTTAGGGCAAAGAAGCACGAGAAATTCCTACAATTTACAATATGACCCTGTCGTGTCAGGAGCTGCCAACGTTATTAATTTATTAATTAGCGTAGCGCGTGTAAGCAACAGCGCCCGACGGCGTGTAGATGAGGTCGATGGCTTCATCACTCGCGGGGCATTTCCGTTTCAGGCGAGAGGAGCAAATGTTTAATGTTGAAATTCCTGTTTTCGATATTGCTTGGACTGAATATTATTATTTAAAAGGTTTGGAAATGGAATTGCGGTGTAAATGCTTTATGACGTGCGAATAAAATTACGAAAAACGCCATGCATGGTTTAAATATTTGAATTTTCCTAAATTTGTGCAAAACATTTGATGACAATTAACTCGCCTGAAAATCGTTTTAATCGACTAAATTCCTGCAAAAATTGTTATATTCAAGTTATATATCGGTATTATGAAATAAGTAATATCATGTACACGATTTGAAATGAAAATCTATCAGCAACTGTTCTTTGCAAAATAAAAGTAATTCCAAACTTCCGAGAAGGTAATCTTCACACTGAAGATGCACGCGATATGCAATAATGCGCATCGCATGGCGGATGTTCGGGCTCTTATCTGGATCGTGGGCCCAGGTGTCTAGAATAAGCAGATCTTGAGAACTTCTCAAGAACTTGAGCAGAACAAAGGCATCTCCTCCTTCATGGTCGTAGTCTGGTCTTAACTGGGCAATTAGTGCGAGTCGCGCCAAGAAGTTCCACGAACTGCGATAGTTCGAGCGATCGTGTGATAGCTTGACACTCAAACAACGGCGCTAATCGAGAATCTCAGCAAATTCCTCCTAATCATGTTTCGCAAATGGAAATCTCGTATCGCTGAGAGAACTTTGGCACATCGGACAGGGAATTCTTTTTGGCGTTGTGCTGCTCAAGTTGAATCTGCATTCATGTTCGGCAGAGACGCTGCGTGGAAGGTGGTCATCAACATGCGGCAATGAAAAAGACGGTTCAACAAATATTTCCCTTGAACATGGACAATTCTGTTCATGATGTAATTTTGATTTAAGGTCAATCATAATGGGAACTCGAGTGGAATGTTCCAATAAACACGTAGATTTTTACACTTAAATCAATGTTCATAAGTTTTAGCTTTGATTCATTCAAATATTTCTGACAGCTCCTCTAATAGTTGAGCCCTAAGTTGAATAAGTTATTTCTGTGAATGACTTAATTTTTTGCACCCACTCCATCGAAAGTCCAAAGTAGCTAAAGGATCAAAACTCACTTCATATTTTTCAGATAATTGATAAAGGAGAGATAATACTTTCAAAAATAAGCAAATACATACATTGAAAGTCTCTCAATAAATTCATTGAAAAACTGCTGCCATATAAATGCTCAATAAGTTTTCGTTAGGAGTTCAGTAGGTACGGGTTCAATAGGTACGGGCGTCGTCCAGCAGTAACACAATGCAAGAAAACTTACATTCAATTGTTTTTTGGCTGCATTAAACATCAGGCTCATCAACTTTTTACTTTTGAACAACGACATTTAAACATAAACTTACGAGTTGTAAATGGAGCTAACGACTTAGTAGAATTTGTCCAATATTATTTACTGCCCATTTACCAAAGTTTTTATGGAGCCTCGGGCTCCTTATTAAGCGACTCAAAAAGGCAGTGAGCCTTCCGATGAAAATGGCACCTTAGTCCGCCGGTGGAAATTTAAAAGCTTTTAAATTTTCTCGAAGTTGCAATAAGCCCGGGAGTTGATGTGGCCAATATGATAGGGTGAGGAAGCGTCCGCTAAAATGAGCGGCTGTCCGACAGAAGGGCATTAAAAAAAGAGTCATGGTAAAGTGAGGCGTCACAATATTGGTTTCCGTTACCGTGGATGTTGATTTTCCGGTCACGTCAGAGAATGACGAGAGAATGCGAGTCGCGATGAATACAATAATTGAACATGGCTTGCGACACGCACGCCTGAGGAATGTTGGTAAAGTTATATTTCGCTTCTCGTACGAGTCTCCTTCATAGAATTATTTACATCCAGGCCAGGCCCCGTCCTAGACATCACTGAGATATTGTCGGTATCCACGGAACAAAAGCAAGCGCGAGCGACGAGATATTTCGAGGACTGTCGAAGGTTCGTTGTTTTGCTGCCGCCAATGTTGAGCTGTGCCGTCCGTGCATGACCGCTATGAGAGCAACTCTCGCTAGAATACTAAACGTCCTTATGGTGTCCCCGCTACTGAATTCTTTGCATGGTCCCGCTAAATTTCAAGTTTTAGATTAACATAAAAAGTATTTGCTGCTGTAAACATAAAAGTAAAGCTGCTGGAAAACCTTTCTTGTGTATCTTGATCAAGAGAAAAGAAAAAAGTTTGGGGTAGCAATAAAGCATCCATTTTATGTCTTGAAGAACACATTGGCTCATTTTATCACGCGAGTTCCTTTAAATTAGCTTTTGGAAAATGCTTTCACACTCATTGAACGCTATGTTTATAGCCAGGCAGAGGAGAGATGACATGGTTTTACAGAATAAATTTCAAGTTTAGCAAAAAGGTAGCTGCAATTCCAGTTGTCTGCTTGCTCCAATTTTGGTTTAAGGCAGCACATGGCCTCGGTATCACCAGGGCTGCATCCGAGGAAAGTTCATCAAAGAACGTTGCTGGGCATCCTGCTGGTAAAACGGCTCCTAAAAGGGATCAGAGTTTTATCTAAAGCCTCTAGGGTAGTGTTCAAAATGTTAATTTGGACCCTTTTAGAGGTTTCACTTCTAGAAGGAACCCATATTACAGCTAAT